TGTGTGTGTGTGTGTGTGTGTGTGTGTGTGTGGTGTGTGGTTGTGGTGTGTGTGTGTCTCTCTGATGGCGACGTTGGCTCGATGACGGCCACCACATGCACACGGCAGGAGCAGCCACGACGACAGCGATGGGGGAAGCGCTGCAACGACGACGTCAACAGCTCGTCGCATTCCAGGGTGAACGGCGGGCGGGGGGAGTTTCGATAGCATACCAGCGGGCTGAATGGCGGGCGGGGGGAGTTTTGATTCGAAAGACCCCGTTTCCCCCCAAAAACAAGGCCACACCAAGACTGCAGAGTCCAGAGTGAACGGGGAAAAAAAAAAAAATCTAAAACCTAAGAAGCGCGCGCCCGGCCATGTGTGCAGAGGCCCAACGGGTCGGAAAATTACCAGAGATAATCTTCTGGGGTCGGCCTCGACCCAACAAAGGGTACAGGCCGAACCGTTTAAAAAAAAAAAAAAATCCTCTGGATTTGGCACCTTTCGGACCCTCCTCACCATACGTCCGCGAGGACATGATACTCTGGACTGTGTGGAACTCGGTCCGGATGTCTGGAACGTAACCATGATATATACACTAATAAATTATACGATGAGCCGGTGAAACTCCAACAAAACAGTCTCTCACAGCCCCTCGTTTGTTATCCTCTTCTCCCTCTCCGCGTACGGTTCACCTGGCAGTTCTCTATGAATGCACTATTACACATACATACACACACACACACACACACACACACAGAGGTGATGCATCGGGTTATCCGCAAGGATGGGTTGGTGTGCATTTTCCACATAATTGCTCGAATAAAATGCATACGGTGGAAGATGATTTTCATTTTGCACTGTTTTGATGCAATGGCTGCTTTTTATCTATGTCATATTGTTGCATCTCACATGGGTGTGGAAGGTTGAATTTGTTTGAGTCGTATGTTTCTCTGACTTCTCTGCCAACTTCCAACTTCTGTCCCTTGAGGGACCCAAAATGGAAATAGCACCTTTTTTGTCTAAAGTTTTCAAAGAAACTTCATACCCAATATGTAAAAATGATTTAGCTATGAAATCATTAAAAACCTTATCAAATAACCATCGCTTGCTCAAAAAACAATAGCACTTCGTGCCATGATTCTCATTTGAAACAATACCAATGGTAGCTCGACATTGAGAATTTATAGAGCTAACGCGCCCGAGGGTAACCGCAACCTGACGGTTACCTCATATTTTTGAATCAATTGAGCAAAAGTCCCTGCAGCCCGAACGAATACGTTCGAGAGTTGGTGGAACTTGGGCATGCGACTGCTCTGCCTCATTTGTACAACGAAGAGCTCGTCTAAATTCTCTGAGCTTTTGGGTGTTGGAAGCTAAACGTTTCGACGTTGAACGTTGAAAGCAGAACTTCAAGGTTCTGGAAACTTCAGCCTTTCTTTTTTTTTTTCCTTTTTTTTTTTTAACTTCAGCCTTTCTCCGTGTGAGTGATTCTTTTTTTTTTTTTTTTTTTTTTTTTTTTTTGGGTTCCAAAAGTTTGGAGCGTTTCTCGATTTATGAGTGTCATCCTTAATTGCGCAGGGGCCATGCTAATCTTCGTTCTCTGTATCGTTCCAATTTTAACGGATGACCCAAAGGACAGGTGTGAGTGCTTCTATTTTCTCACAGTGATGGACATTATGATCGCTTTCCAGATGACTGACTTCCTCGACTCTTTTTGTTTTCTGGACGGAAGATGCTCTTCTTTCTGGGCAACATACGGCAAGATGTATTTCCGCCCACAACGGTGAAGGCGCCTTATCCTGATGTCTGGTAAGCCATTCACATCCCAACCCCCCATCATCAGTTTAAATTTTAATTGCATCTCACAGTCAATGCCTATGTGCTAAAGTTGTCTCCTTGATGACCGAGGGACATGGTGTGTGCGTTGTTGCGAACGTGCTCAGTATTTTTGTGCCTATATGCCATATATGGTATATATCCATTGTGGCTATGTATCCACTCAAAGTTTTTAGAGGGCGAGGAGAGGGAGGGAAGAGTGAGGACCATATGAAGAGGGGATAAAAAGGACACAGTCCTAGTATACGAAGCTTCCAAAGTCGGAGACGGAAAGTACAGGAGGCCTCTTCCAGGGGGCTATTTTTACGACAATACAGACCGACCATATAAAAAAGGACAGACTGAAGAACGGTATCAAGTAGCAATGGAAAGCAAAGTCGATCACAGTGAGAAAAAAACGGAAGGCGAGGGAGGGAGAAAAAAGAAAACGCAAACTTGGATCAATTGATTTCAACAACTCTTGTTCATATTTAAGAATTTGAGAAATCTGAATTTGAGCTAAAATAAGATAGGATGGGGAGGAGCGTGGGTGAGTCTTTTATGCATTCCATTTTGACTTGCCGGGGGAACAGGAACCGGACTGTGGCTCTCCAGAATGGTAGGAGCCAGAACCGTGAGGTTCTGTTAAAAAAAGAAAAAAGAAAAAAACAGATAGGGATACCCGGTAAAACCCCATGGGGTTTAGGGTTTAGGAATTCGATATAGGATCCCCAAAACCCTTAGCGAGAACAGGGATTGGATTTTTGAAAGGAGACCTAAGAGGACACTGATCCAGAGAAGTCGGGATTGAACAGGAAAGCAAGCGTCGTCAACAGACTAGAAATCTACAGAAACAGCAGTCTTTTTGTGAAAGAAGGCTTACCTTTTTCTGTAGATTGACCTGGTCCTGATCTGACCTTTTGTAAAGAGGCCTCTTTTTGTGAAAGAAGACTACCTTTGCCTTCAGCTTCACAAAAGGTGAGCTCAGGACCAGGTCAGTCTATAGGAGTAGGTCTCTTTAGGATCAACAAGCTACAGCAAAACCTTTAGTTTGCCAGCTCCCCACACTTGCTTTAGCTTCTCGCGAGAATCCGACAGCACTCAGCTGAGAGGAGCTAGGAGTGAGGAGACTCGTAGGATAAAGAGGTAGTGAAATTAGGCTAACGCAGGCAGGGGTTAGGGGTGGTAAATCCTTGCTTAGGGAGGGGTGAGGGATGGTAAGTCATTCCTTAGGGAGCGGTGAGGGGTGGTATATCCTTCCTTAGGGAGGGGTGAGGGGTGGTAAATCCTTTTTTAGGGAGGGGTGAGGGGTGGTATATCCTTGCTTAGGGAAGTAATCAATGCCGTCTACTCGGGCCTCCCAACCATAATGGGGAGGAGGGTGGGTGAGTCTCTATTGTATTCATCACTGACTTGCCGGGGGAGTAGGAACCGGACTGTTGCTGCCCAGAATGGTAGGAGCCCGAACCGAGTGTTTTTTTTTTTTTTTTTGTAAAGACGAAGAAGAAAAAAATTTGGATGTGCTTCTTCAACAGTTGTGGGCATTCTTTTCAGTTCCCTTTGATGGCTTACTAAATACCGTGGAGTCGGCAATTTGCAGTTCTATCGCTTTTGTGACTTCCTCTTAACTCTTCCATGGCCATTTCTCCTCCTTCACTTTCCTCCCGCCCCCCGTCTCTCTCTCTCTCTCTCTCTCTCTCTCTCTCTCTCTCTCTCTCTCTCTCTCTCTCTCTCTCTCTCTGTGTGCGTGTGTGTGTGTGTGTGTCACACACACACACACACACACACACACACACACACACACACACACACACGCACATAAAAAAAAGGCACATATCTAGCAAGAAAAAAAAAAAAACAGGCACATATCTGGCACAGTCGTGCTTTTGTGAGCACTTGTTTTAAACCTTTTATGCTGCCAGTGTGTGCCTGGCGCACGCATGTGTGGGGTTTGGCACGTGTGTGTTCACTTGTGACTTGTCTACGTTCTTGCAGGATGAAAGTCCCAATGCTGGGGCTTTGCCAGGTTGTTCAGTCGGTGGTTGATTGTGAGAGAGCAGCAAAACAGGCTTTACAGCAACGGCTTCTACGAGCACAGGAACGTGTTTGTCAACTAGAAGAGAAAATCAGAAACGAAGAGTGAGATTGCGGGTTACACTGTTGTGTTGGGGAATCGCGGGACTCTGGCAGGACTGCACACGATCATTATATGAAATCCGCATCAGGATGCCAGGCTCCGACATGCAGGTGTTCATCCAAATCAAATCATAAAGATGAAAGAGCTCTGGAAGTCAAACGAGGAGAAGATGACAGAACTGGAATGTGCTGTGGATGATGGATGACCTGGCGCATGACAAGTCGATAACAGAACGAAGAAGGAAGTCGTTAAGGCCTCTTTCCTGCATATATGCTTTTGGAAACGCGATTACTATTTTACGGCTATGTACCAGAATTTATTGAAGGTCGGTAAAACGCGCTTTCGAAAACGGGATTACTATTTTATGGCTATGTACCAGAATTTATGGAAGGCTTGCGAAATCTGATGGTGTAGGATCATTCAGCGCTTACCCGCCATCTTGGCTGTACTAATCTCCATCATCAGTGTTCTAGCCATAAGCAAGGGTTGGCAAAACTTGGCCAGCGTTTACTCTCCCTTATTTTTGTTCCCTTTGTATCTCATCCACATTGTCGCTCCCTCCCTCCTTCCCTCCCTCTTCCCCGCTCTCCATGCTCTCCTCGCTCTCCCCTCTCTCTCCCACTCGCCCCACTCACCCATCTGCTTCTCCCCGCTCTCCTTGGACGCTCCCAGTTCTCCCGTCTGCCTTTCCCCGCTCTCCCGTCTGTTTCTCGCCTCTCTCCCTGCTCGTTCGCCCGCGTCTCCCTGCTCCCCCCTGCTCTTCCCGCTCCTCCTTCGCAACCATAGAGGTCCACATTGTACAACTGGGCCCAGAGTCGGACCTGGCACCGGAACTCAGACTTCGACTCAGAGTAGAACCCATGTCACCATGAGACTGGAACTGGAACTGGAGCTGGAACTGGAACTGGAGCTGGAACTGGTCTGTCGATACTTAACTGGATCGGTGAAGGGCATTGCAAGGAGACGTGGAGGCAGCATTGGCCTTGAAAATGGGACTGGAAACGTCATGAGTGGGGTGGGTACTCCATGGAGCTCGTGGTGTACGTGGGCCCTGGAATTGGAACTGGTACTTCTGGCCAGTTGACGGCGAAGAGGCTTAAACCACGAGTACTTGGCCCAGCTATCGGCCGCAGAAAAAAAAAAGAGCAGAAATGTTTCTAGTCGGATGAATTTGGGCGCTCCTGTAGTAGCCCGTACGTTTCCTAAAATTGTGGCGCGTTAATGGGCACGACTCTACGAAGTACTGGTGGTTTAAGATCTGATCCAACCCGCACATAATTGATGGATAAGACTTAAATGGAAGACAGCTGCKACCTGTTAAGCTCAATCTACGGAGCTGATGGATGGTCACGGTAAGTATAACACGTAATCTGGAACTGAAAATGGACGTGGAGCTGGAAATGTATCGGGACAGGGAAGGGAAAAGAACGTGAGACTGAAATGGGACCGGGAACTATGGGAACATCTCTTAGGAGTTGTTTTTCACAGCTCTATTGCTTGGCCATTGCTTCTCAGTGGTGGTTGCGTAAATAAACTGCAGCCATGCCTCGTTTGCGAACGGGCGGGCAGCAAGGAGGAGTAAGGCTGAGAGCTCTTGCAGCCTTTCCAGACTATTTGTGGCAGCCTCTTCGCTCCAGCATCTCATTTTTTTATTAAATGCTTTTTTGATCCCCCCCCCCTTTTGGTGTAGAAATCTTGCGGAGTCGATGCAGACAGGATTCCCAGTAATTGTTGTGTTTTTTAGGATTTAGGGTTTAGGGTTTGCGTCCGGTTGGCGTATCGACGCCTTGCCTTGCAGTGGATATTCAATTCAATCGTGAATGTTCCAGCATCGAGCAGGCTATGGTCTTGCTTCTCCTGGAATGGTGGTCATCCATTTAGCGTCATCTGTCCCACTGGTGACATTATGCGCTCTTGCTTAGCATGAAGTTGTCGTGAACCCCCTCTGTCGAGCAGACCTTATTCACACTAACTGCGCCCCCAGTTCAGCGGATGGGACCTGACCGTCAGGGTAAGATAACAAAATGGTCTGCACACGCTTCTGCTTTGTTTCCCTCGGGTGGCTACGTCGTCAATTCGGAGTTCTAGACTACCTCCCTCGCCGAAGTTTTCTCCTATTTTCCATTTTCTTGTTTAATCAAACAAGACTTCTTCTCCCTTGAGGTTGTCTTCGGTCGATGAAGTGACAGAGCGATTTGAATTTTGTTAGACTGCCCAATCCCATTATGTATGTGTTTAACAAAGGATCCAATCCAGTCAAATCTGTACAGTCCAGTGGACGTGATCCCATGATTCGAAAATGTAATCTTAAACGTATGGAAAATCTCACGACTCTAAAATCGAATTTATCTATGTTAGGTATGTACAAAACCTACTACATATAAACGTCAAATGCGCACGTCAACTGCTGGAAAGAGCTTAGTGCTCAAGGGTGCAGCGCTTTAGGTCTCATTTAATATACCCTCTGTAGCAGCTCTTTTTTTCCTTTTTCTTTTCTACCTAAAACATTACAACTCACCCCTCTCTCTCTCTCTCTCTCTCTCTCTCTCTCTCTCTCTCTCTCTCTCTCTCCCCTCTACACACACGCAGTGTTGTAGGCTTTCGGGAATGAACGCACTGCCTACGCGAAACACCACCTCTAGTTGGAGGGTAGAGCATGGCTCTCTCTCTCTCTCTCTCTCTCTCTCTCTCTCTCTCTCTCTCTCTCTCTCTCTCTCTCTCT